ATGTGAATCACCTCCCTGGCCGGCCTGGGATCGAACTTCTGCTACAGTGAGTGCCGATAGCTTGGTAGCCCTGCCTGTAACCCCTGAGCCACCATGAAGACCTTATTGATGTATTTTATTTAGTGAAGTACAAACCTGAGTTGGTACCTGGTAAAGAAATGGGCTGTAGGGTGAGTTCCATCTGCATAGACTAGACGTGGGTGGCATGATGCCTCGGGTGCCTGTCCAGCCTGGCCACAGCGCTGACCGTCACTACTTGTGGCTAGGACTGTAGTCTTGAGAAATATGGCACCAGTAATGAGCAGAAGGGAGCCTCAAAAGAATGTTGCCTAGTAAACTTGTGTACACCCAGGTGTGGCCTTCAGGAAATCTGACACTTGAGAGGGAGTGGGAAGAGGCAGGGTGTTCCATCTAGAGAGTTACAGTAAGAATGAGTTCTGCAGATCTGATCTTGACTTGGTCACTTGTCCCTAGACCGGAAAAGCCAGACAATGATCACAGGAAACTTCCCCTTACATCTTGGACCTCCCACTGCTTTCTTTTTGCTTCTGTTGAAGGAAGGCTTCTGTGATGTTTTGAGCCCCAGGTCAGGGTGGGGATTGGATTCTGGCCTGTTGCAGAGACTGGGGAATGGGCTCTGGATGATGCCCAGGTGATGTCTTGAGCTTCTAGCTTCTCCAGAAATGTTGAAGGTCTTACCTGCACCTTTGGTACTCATGACACCACCCCTTTCCCTAGAGAATCTGAGGGAACCAGAAGGAAGCTCCATGCACCTATCCCACTTTAGAGGGAGCCTTTTCCCCTTTCTTGGAAAGTATCCTCCCATTTCCTGTTTACACAGCATAGCAAGCCCCTGGGAAGATGGCTCAGGGGCTGGGAGGAAGTGATTGAAATGGAATCTGAAACAGGATTTGGCCCACTCTGCTTCTGATCTGGGCCCTTGAGTTCAAAAGGTGGAAAGTGGGGAGAGGATGCCTTGTTCCTGGTCTGAGACAGCGAGAAGCTGCCCACAGCCTCTCCCTGTGGCCCCGAGCTGCTCCAGAGCGACTGAGCTGGGCCTCAGACCCACCACGTGGAATGGGAATGGGGGTCGCAGACAAGCATGCGCCTGCTTCAGGGGCCACTGTGGGATGGGGTGCGTGCGGCCCGCGCACTTGAGCTAGGAGTCAGGGGGTTCTGTCATGACTGGGTTGTGTCTGGGAGCAGACTGGACACTCGCCCCTGCATGGTGGCCAAATAGACTTAACTGGTCATTAGTCCAGCAGGCCTTTGGGCACCTGTGCTGCCGCAGGTTGTGCGCTGTGCAGTGGGAATCAAGAAGCCCACAGCTGCTGACAAGCCCCCGGCCCCGCTCGAACTTGGCATTTTACCCCTGCTTGCGCCTCCCTACTGAGGGTTTGTGTACATCCACGATAGGTCTAGTATGCACAGAATGAAAGTCTAAAGGAGATGGCATAGGAATTAGTTCTAACATTGCCTCCCACACCTCAGTGGATCTCGCTGTGTATGCACATCCCACTTCAGAGAGCACTTGTAGCTTCAGACTTCACCTTAGTGTTGGGAAGTGGGTGGCTTTTGAGCTGGGGCTGCCTGCTGGATGGATAGCAGTGTGAAGGAGGAAGCGAAGCAGGTAGGTGCTGCACGCACACAGTTGATGCGCGCATGGGCCCTAGCAAGGCCTGATGACCACCATTCTCCCCCCCCCCCCAGGTGCCCTGGGGTGGGCTTTAAAGTTCTCAGTCCCTTTTTGCTTTCATTGCTGTCTGTTGATCATCCCATCCCTGAGGTATGGGATCCTTCTCTGCTGGGAAGACCACGAGTGGGGTCCTTTGCCAAGAGCAGTGGAACTCGGAGGCTGAGCCCTGCCTCCCCCGGCTGGCTGCTGCTGCCGCCTCCCACAGACATTCTTCCTTGACATCTCCTGTCTCCCCACCCCCTGGAACTGCAAACCAGGAACATGCCTGTCATGCCCCTGACTCTTGGTCCGGCATGTGCCACTTTTCTTCTGGCAAGAACTTGGGCTGCAGATTCCTGCCTCTGCCCCCCACCCCCACCCGAGCTCAATGGAAGGTGTGTGGCCTCCTAAGGCATGCAAAACCCAAGTTGGGGGGGCGGGGCTCCAGGTTCCCTGTGGTTTCTATTTCCTTGGCTCCCTGTCTTGTGACAGCCACGGCCGGCTGCCTTGCCCGCTTCCATTGCTGTCTTCCTGAACTCTGCCCTCTGGGCTGTGCTGGGTCTGTTCTTGCACTTGCTTGGCCTGGTGTCAGCTTGCAGGAGGGTGATTTTCTGTGTCCTGTCTGCTCAGCCAGTCAGGGCTCTGATGTTTACTCAGTGCCTGGTGAGGCCCAACACCCTGGGATTACTGATTTTTAAAGACAAGTGAAACCTAGGAATTTAATCTCTTGAGGAGATTGAGGCTTCTACCTTCAGGGCACTTAAGTCACTTTTTAGTTGTCCCATCTCAGTTCCCCCAGCCTGGGCTATAAAAATCAGTGCTTTTGTAACATTTTCTTATCTCCTTTTGCTACTGACTGCCTTAGGCTAGCTCTCTTCAGTTTACACCTTCCTAGCAAGGAAGCAGAGGAGTCAATTAGAGCTATCTAGCAGGACGCAGTTCTGGACTAACATTCATAGAAGAGTTTAGAAGGTCTTAGAGATTCAGTACTGAGAAACTCCCTGCCCCTTCCCTGCAGGGACTCTGCCTGGGCTCCTTCCTGCCCTTCCTGCCTGGGGAACCAGCAGCCTGTGAGTCTCCTTGACAACAGAATGGATAAGTTAAAAATAACCTGCACTGGGCCTTCTGTGTGCATGCACACATGAGCGTGGCTGCTGTGCTTGAGCTCGGCCCCAGGGCCTAGAGACCACCAAAGGCCCCAGTGTTGTGGGCCCCTTGCTTCAGGGGTTGGAGCTGGCTGATTGCGCAGCCTCACTCCTGGCATTACTGACAGTTGTCGCTGGATGTGGGTTTTGTAAAATGGAAGGCAATTCCCAGTGCCCAGGTCTCCATTCAGTCTCAATGAAGAGGATAAGCCAGGGGCGTTGCCGTGTTTCAGAACAACTCAGGAAGGTGGAATAGAGCACAGTTCTGAGGTGTTTGTTTATGTCTCTTCAGGGAGCCCCCCCCCCCCACCTTGCCCAGGCCCTTTCTGGGTCCATTTTGTAAGGCTCAGGTCAGGAGGCCTCTGGGTGACTTGTGTGGAGCCGCGTGGCTTAGCAGTGAGCCCCGCCGTCAGAAGCTGTGGCCCTCTCTCAGGTCCTGCTGATAGACCTACTTCTGTGCCGACGCTTTATCAAAACCAGCTGTTTCCATAGCCCAAACTGCTAAGGCCTTCTGTTTTGTCATAGCACAATTGTAACTTTAGAAACTGCTGTCTCTGTTGGGGCAAGGGCCAGGTGTGTTACCACATCTGGAGTTAATTCCTCACTTCCTCCCTCCACCCTTGCACTCACTAGCAAGTATTTTGCTGTGTGCTAGATTTGGGGAGGTCATGAGAACAAGGTGGCGTGGTTGTGTCTTTAGGAGACACCAGCTAAGAAAATCTCTCCCTAAGTCCCCATTATAACCAGCGCCAACAGCGTAGGGTGGGGAGAGTAGGCAGGGAGAACATAGTCACACAAAGAACTTAATTCTGGAATGTTTTTAAAATCCTGCAAATCAATAAAAAGACAGAAAACAGTACAGTGATAGACAGTTCACAAAAGACCCCCAAATGGCCAGTAAACATGAATGGTGCTTAATTTAATGTGTTTTTTAGTTATAGGGAAATTCAAATTGGTCCACTTAAAATATGTAACTTTCTATGTTTTTGCACACACAAACATCATGACATCTTTGAAGAGGCGGTAAAACAAACTTTTGCCATTTTTTGTTTACTTTGCCCTGAATTTCTTACTGAAAGGTAAATTAGATGCCAAGATATGTGAATAAACCAGAGGGATAAATACACTGAAGTGGGAAGACCTGGTGACTAGGAGGCTCTGCTGGGTCCCTCCTCTTCGTTCGTAAATAGCCTCCTGTTTCCCTTCAGTCCTCCGCACCTAGCCTCAGGTGTGCGAAATGCTCCTGAAACTGGAAGGACTGTGCGGATTCTCAGCAGCGTCGCTGCTCTAGTTCTAAGCGATTTGGTTTTTCTTCTGCTGCCTCTCACAGCGGCTGTTCTGAATTGACCCGTCATAGGTCTGATGCTGGGATGGTCCCGAGGACTCAGAGCTGCCTGCTTCTTGGTACTTTGGGTCGAGAACCTATTGCTGACATGGCCCTTGCCCCCTCCACATAGGCTGGGGGCCAGGGGACGTTCCTGCTGGCGCTTCCTTATGGGCCTGGACGGCAGCTCTGTGGGGAACATGGCAGTTTGCCGATGCCCGGGCCAGTGGCAGGAGAGGGCTGGGGAGCACCCAGCCCAGTGTTGGTGCTTCCCAGCGGCCACTACACCTTGGGAGCTGGCTTCTCAAGGGCGCTTTTGTGAAGTCAGCTAGTAACACAGGGGACTTTGGGGGGACAGGGCGGGAGCCACAGCCCAACACCTAGCTTCCTACGCCAGCCTGACCAGAACCGCTGACTGCCCTGGCGGCCCCCAGAGTTCATGGCATGCTGCATGTTATCCCCTGTGTGACTTAGGGGTTGGGGGAAAGGTTTTCTCATAGGTGCACGGGCCTCCCTGGGTATCTGCAGCTGAACCTGAGATATCTGCAGCAGGCAGGGTCGGAAACAGGCCCTGGTGAAATCCCGTTGTGTTCTTCATCGTCTTGTGGAGTGGATCATGGCTGTTTCTGACTCTCCACCCCGAGGGACAGGCACAGGCCTCTTGCCAGCAGAAAGCTGCCACCTTGGCACATCAGAGCAATGCTGGGAGTCCCGTCTGTTGTGCCACCTCACTGTGCCAGGTCCTCGGGCCTGTTTGGTTCTCTTCCCACACATCTCTTATTAAAACAGACGGGCATTTCTCAGTATCCTACCTGGCATTTTTGACCTTTTTCTTTTCTGTTTTTCTGCTACCTAGGAGTCAGAAGTAAAGCTAGATGGAGAGACTGCATCAGACAGCGAGAGCCGCGCGGAAGCTGCCGCTCTACCTACCTCTGTAGACGACACCCCGGAGGTTCTCAACCGGGCCCTGTCCAACTTGTCATCAAGGTAACCCGGCTTAGTGGCGCAGGCGCTTGCTGGGGCCCTGCCCTGTACCCAAGGGCCATGAAGACCCAGAGCCTTCAGAAAGCCCAGTCTCTGGTGGGACCCCACTTCTGGGGCAGTAATGAAAACATCTGTTTGCATTCTTTGATTTATACAGTTCCTTCAAGTGAAGGGATTTGACACCTTCTGCCCCATAAAAAACAAAACCAAACCAAGCAAAGCACACGCTGGGCAGCTGGCCCACATGCACCAGCGCCGCCCGCCCCCGCCCGGGCTCCATTGAGGCCTTGAACGCTTCACAGCAACTGCAGGCTCGGCCCGGAAGGCTCCAGGCCTCGAAGTGAGCTCTAGGCCAGAGGGGGTATAGCCCAAGGAGGGGGACAGTGTGCGCAGGGGAGGTGGTGGTGGGCAAGGTTGCGACCCAGCAGGCGGAGAGGAACGGCCCTTGGGGCCTGTGCTCATGGGCAGGCTGCTTTTCATTGAGGAGCCCACGCTGCCAGTTAGGAGCTCATTTTCCCCTCTGCCACACGCCCTCACTGTGAACACGCCTGAAATTCTCCTGAAGAATTGAGAAACGTCTCACCGCGGGTGAGTCTAGGGTTAACATTTTGGTGCCTTAACACACTGCCCCTTCCAACATCCACTGTGTGGGTTAGATTAAAAACACAAAGCATCTAGAAGTCTCCCTAGCATGCCTCCTACACAAGTGCTGAGGTGGCACAGGCACGGCCCGGGGCAGCCCCCAGGAGCCCAGTCCCAGCCTCCACTCCTGCCACCTGCGTACCCACTTCTTCCTTTGTAAAGGAAGCGTTGAGGAGCCATTGAAAAGGTATGTGAAACCTTGAAACCATTATTGCTGTTGTGACCTTTATTGCTTGGTACTTATCACTGATGTTTCAGGGGCAGAGCAGCGCAGGATTCTGATGCAGGAAAACTAGTCCTAATTTTTCCTGCAGAAATCGCCAGAGAAACATCCCAGTAGATACAGCAATGTAGGAGGCACTGTTCCTCACGCCCCTTTCATTCTTTCCTTCAGTGTGAAACATACCGGGTATATTTTCCCATAGGCCTTGGAGCACTTGCTGAGTTTGATTGTGGGGGCCAGGACCTCCATCAAGGTAAAGGAACTGCGAGTGGAAAGTGCTGACCCTGGGGCCTCATCCCTAAGGAGCCAGTCCCCATTGGGATGTGCTGTGATGACTTTGGGGCTCCTGACGTGTCTCCTCCTCCTCTTCTCCTAGATGGAAGAACTGGTGGGTGAGAGGCATCTTGACCTTGGCCATGATTGCATTTTTCTTCATCATCATTTATCTGGGACCAATGGTTTTAATGATTATCGTAAGTACTGTTTTTTGTTTTTTTTTTAAGATTTATTTATTTGTGCATAAAGAACTGGGCTACAGGCCAGAGGTGCAGGCGTGGTGAGGATTCACCAGAGAAAGAGCAGAATAGGCCAAATGACAAAGTACACAGCTGAAGGGAGCAGCGGGCAGACTGTTTGCCATGCCATGTGGGAGAGGTCTGCCGCGCCATGTGGGTCACCTCTGGGGTAGGCGGGGATCGAACTCATGCTGAAGTGGCTCTAGCCTCTTAGTGCTGTGCTTTAACCTGCCGCGCCACCCGGGAGAACCCGTAAGTACAGTTTTTAATGTCTTCAGTTTTCCTTGCAGGACCGGTCATCTTTAAGTACCAGGTATTGGGTTGGTACTGGGAGTCATTTGGGGTTCAGGTGCCTGAGAACACTTCTTCTGCCTAGTGTATCTGCAACTTCTGTATCTAACCAGGGGGTCATTGGCATTCACCAATTGTGTGCTGTTGAAGATGTCTTTTGACTTTAAAATTTGATTGACACAAGAGGACTGTTGTGCCAGTTGGGTCAGCTCCTTGGCTGGGGATCAGACTCACACTGCAGTGGCTGGCGATAAATTGATAGCGCTGACTTTAACCCCTTTGCCACCAGGGAAGCCCAGGAGTGATATTTTTCTTGTAGTCAGTTTTTTTTTTTCCAGGATCTGTTGGCTTCTGTTTCCCAAGATCATAAGAATTGGGGAGTTAGTGTTCTGATCTTTTTGTGTCCTGCAGGTAATGTGTGTTCAGATTAAATGTTTCCATGAGATCATCACTATTGGCTACAATGTCTACCACTCCTATGACCTACCCTGGTTCAGGACCCTCAGCTGGTAAGTTCTCTGGCCTCACGGGAATCCTTAACAGATCAGGATGATGTTTTGTGGGAAGTGTTCATTGTGGTGGCTGGGAGGGGAGTGATGACCTTAGACTTGGGCAGTGCCTTTGAAATTCTGTGGCTGACTTTTTTGTTTTTTTTTTTTTATTAAAAAGTTTATTTTTACATCATTTTGCACATTTTTTTCATCTCAATTGTAATCCCCGCGGGTTTCCCATCACCAAATCACCCCTGTGCCACCACCATAGTCCCGTGCATTTCCCTCCCTTCCCCCCTCCCCCGTTTTTGGTCCCATTCCCCCTTTTTTGTTTTTTTAATAAGACTTATTTATGCATACAAGAAGTGGGGTACAGGCCAGAGTTGCGGGGGTTGAGAAGATTCACCAGAGACAGAGTTGGGGGCAGAACAGGCAGATCTACTGAAATACACTGCTGAGGGGAGCAGTGTGCAGGACAGGAGAAGTCTGCTGTGCCACGTGGGTCACTTCCCTGGCCAGGGATTAGATTGAGGGTATAGCAGTTTTGTGAAGAGAATGATGTTTGAGCAGCAAATGAGTGATAGCATTCAGTGAAGATGTTCTAGGCAGGGAAAAGGCAAAAGCAGAGCAGACAGATGGCAAAACCGAGTGAACTGTTGTATTTTGATAGACCTCTAAAGGTCCTGTCAGGAAGGGTGGAGATAAGACTGGGAGGCAAGGTGAGGTGTGCTTTGGAGGGACAGTTGGTGGTTTGAATGTTCTTGGGTTAGATATGGAAAATCTGTACTTGGGGCAAAAACTTGAACCCCAAGTTTGTGATAAATAGAGAGTGAATTAGAGTCACCACAAGTTTCTAGGTAAAATTCTCATCTACAGTGTCACCAGACAACAGGGAACTCTGGTGTGCTTGTCCCTCTCAGCCTCCCTGGGGTCTGGAGGACGTCAGGCTCTCTGATAGCCCCACTCTAAAGGAGAGTCCGCGTGTGCTCCCCACAGCAGTGATCGGTTTTCTTTTACAGGTACTTCCTACTGTGTGTGAATTATTTCTTCTACGGTGAGACAGTGACAGATTACTTCTTCACGCTGGTCCAGAGAGAGGAGCCTTTGAGGATTCTCAGTAAATACCACCGGTTCATCTCCTTTACTCTCTACCTAACAGGTGTGTGGCTCACCAGTTCTGTCTGTCTGGTTTTTGCAGGAATGGCTTGGGTAAAGTTCTGCTGACATTAACTGTCCATCAGGGCAGCAGAGCTGATGCCTCTGCCTTACGGGAGCTACAGCCGCACTCTGAGGGATGGGGCGGGGCCTGCAGCCTGTGAGCTCGTCCTTGCACCCCAGCCACTACTGCAGGACAGTGTCCCTGTCCCGATGTCCTGTCAGCAGAGGCGCTCTCGTTGGCTAAAGCAGAAACCTCCCTGGAACAGATGTGTAAACACAGTGGCCATTTTTCTGGGAAACTGTTTGCAGAGACAATGCAGTGTGCATGGAATCTGATTGGGGTTTCCAAGGCTCTGTGATTGCAGAGCGACCCGGAACCTGGTCCTTCTGAGGCTCAGCTATGCTGTAGTGTAGAGCTGAAACTGGTTCTGCAAGGAGTAACTCAGATACATTACAACCTGACGGACAGTACAGTGCCGTTTATCTAAACTCATTCGGATTGTACATTAGTCCTAAGGATGCTCGTGTTTCTCAGAGTTGCCTTCAAAGATGGTTTGAGACACATGAGAAATTTGTCCTGATTGAAATTCTAGCAATACTCGGCTTTGTGATGTCACCTGCTATTAAAATATAAAGTCCACTGCCAAGGAGTCTGCTGCCATTGAGGGTCGCCTGGGAGTGTGCCCCTCAAAGCAGCCCCAGAGAGGGAGGTCAGGAGTCTGAACAGCGATGGCTGTCTCTTGAGCGGGCCCCACACCTGTATGGTAAAGGCCCCTTACCAGCCTTGAGAAGGTTGGGAACCGCCAGATTTTTCTCGTTCCCATGTGATTCAATGAGAGAGTTGCAAAGGTGGTCCCGACCCCAGCCAAGTGGATTTCCCTCCACCAGAACTGTTCTCCAGGACAGGGTGCGCAGACCTCTTCGAAAAGGTCCTGATAATATTCTGTGCTTTGGGGTCTCCTCAGCCCTGCCACTCCAGCATGTCACGGTGGACATTTGTAAACAGATGGGTGTGTCTGTGTCCCAGTAACATTGCACTTAGAAGATCAGGTGGCTTGCCTGGCTGTTGTCCCTGCTCTAGCATCACAACATTTCTATTTGTGAAGCAGTGTCCTAAACTGAGTCTGCAAGGTTGCATTTTACTTTATTGATTTTGTTGTTGTTGTTGTTGGCAAGATTTTAAAGTATTGCCTTCCTCCAATTGACTTGAAGCGTCACTTCCCCTCTGCTTTCTGCGTCACTGGGTTTTCTCCCGTGGGCCTGGAGCCGCACTGGCTGACTGCTGCCAGGGTCTCTGCCAGATGAGCAGGTGGCGCAGCCCGAGGAAGTGACCAGCACGCGGGTACATGCAGAGTGTGGTTCACTTGCCCCTTCTCCTCTTTTCTTCTCCAACTAGGGTTCTGCATGTTTGTCCTGAGTCTGGTCAAGAAGCATTATCGACTGCAGTTCTACATGGTAAGGCACGTGCACACCCGTTAGCATCCTTGGCAGTGGGCTCTGCCCAAACTCTCAGCCTCTCGTCCCCTGGAATTCAGTCTGTCCTGTGCGCAGCGGGAACCACAACATGAAGGAAGTGGGCCGTTTAAATTGCGTCGCTCTGCATTGTCCAGATCCAATTTGTTACTTAGTTTCCACCCTAATAGGCAGTTTCTCCACTTGGACCCAAAGAATGGACTCCAGGTGGTGCTTGAGGATTGACTGCAGATAGCCTAGCTGCTGTCTAGCCCTCGGCTTGAAAACAGCCCCTCTGAGTGCCCTAGGCACCCCAGTAATCAGTAATAAATGATAAGGACCCAGTCTCTGGTCACAGAGAACTTACACCCTGAGTAGGCCAGTGTGGCCCCTGCTGCTGATGGAAATTGAAGCTGAGTGAGCTAGGCAGGCCCAGAGGCTTGCGCCGCTTCACTGCAGAGAGGCAGGTGCACAGGCAGACATCTCTCTGCTTTGCTTGGCTCCGACCCAATTCCAGGGCGTTATGGAGGTTTCCCTCAGCTTTTTGGACACCAGCAGTTCTGGGCACTCAACTCAATTCTGACACAATCTACCAGTGTTCACATTAGGTTCCATGGGTTAAGGGTCATCTCCAAGGTCTCCCTCCTCTGCAGGTGCCAGTCACACGCCCCTGTGCTTCTGACCGCCCCTGTGCTTCTGACCAGCTGATCACAACCCCTTTTTCAGACTTCAGGTACCCCTTACAAGTCCAGATAATTTGTGCTCTGACTGAGTGGCGTCTGGAGGTCCCTACAGCTCTTCCTCAAATTCCATGAATCTGCTAGAATAGCTCACAACTCAGGAAACTGTTTATTCATTAGGTTTATTAAAAAGATATTAAAGGATACAAGCCAAGCCTCAGAAACAGACAAGCTCGTGAGCAGAGGAGCGTCTATCATTGTGGACCTGCAAGGAAGCACTTGAAAGGGTTCTGGTTTCCCAATCTGGAAGCACTCTGAAGCAACCACCACCCCCTTTTGGGGCCTTTCAGGGGCTTGAATGCTTAGGCATCACTGAGCAACTCATTGGTCGCTGACAATTGAACTTTGCCTCTAGTCCCTCTCTCAGGAAATCAGGGGGTAGGAGTAAAAGTCCTTGTCTCTGTGCAAAATGGTTTCCCTGGCAACCAGCACTCTCGGATATTTTCCAAAGGTTACCTTCATTAACAGACTTTAAGAATATCAAGACACCCATTTAGTTTTAGGACTCTTAAGCTTACTCAGGCACTGAAGCAAAAGGTCAAATGTTATGACAAAAGTCATTTCAAATGGCTCAAGAAATGTCAAGACCTACAAGTTTGTTAGTCTGGAGCTGTGGATGAAGATAGAATAGATGAGAAACATGCTTTGGTCATCTGAATGACTGCTGCGCTGTCCTGCCTGCCTATAGTTTCCTCTTTGGTACGGTTACTTCAAGTCCATTGAAGGAGGCCGGTGAAGGTCCTTTTTCTACTCTTGCAGTTTGGCTGGACCCATGTGACACTGCTGATTGTTGTGACGCAGTCACATCTTGTGATCCACAACCTGTTTGAAGGAATGATCTGGTGAGTTGATGTCAGTCATGGTGATTTTCCTTTCCTTTTTTGGTGGTTTTTTTTTTTTTTTTTATGTTCAGGTGGGCTGGGATTTTTTTTTTTAAGGTATTAAGAGTGCTAAGGCCTTACCTTTAGGGCCAGACTTACCACTTGGGTTAAGAGTAAGTCATATTAACATTTCTGCCTACTGGCTTTCACATTCAACCCGCAACTAATCAGAGCTTTAGAGGTTGCATGTTAGAGTGTGGGGAGGAAATGATGTCCGTAGTGGATGGGCCAGAAAAGTTGAGATTGATCTATAGTATGTGAAGCTGTAGCAGAGGGCATTTTACAAAGTGACTGTCAGAGAATGGAGGAGAAGTGGAGTGAGAGAAAGATGGTACAGGTGCGGAAAGTGCCCACTTTTTCTTGGGGGGATGCTTGCACAAGTGGGGGACGCCAGAAGTCTGGGTGGTGGTTCGGCCACAGTTGGGCTCACTAGAGCTAGTAGTTGACATAAGCAGGCAGTAAGCAGGTAGATTATGAAATAGACATAGTATGTATTGAGAACTGTGGAGGTAGTGGTTAAAAGAAAAGTTAGAAGTGGCTGTTGGGGGAATGAAGGTATAGAGGGGAAAAAAGGAAAACTAACTTTTTTCTTGACTGGTTACATTACTGTGTGCGCCGTTCCTTTGAATGACAAAACCAGAGCAGTTTTGCAGACTGCCAGCCCCGTTTATCCAGGAGGTGCCCAGTAAATACTTGAATGCTTGCTGTGTGCCAGCTACTATATGTGACTTACTTGGTAATTTCTTAGCTTATCCCTTAAAGGATAACGAGTGTTTTGTGGGTGCTTTGTATTGGATCTTACGCCTGGCAACTTGGGGGTACTGCCTTGGTGAGTCGGTGCTGAGTGCTGCTTATGTCCTAGGTTCATTGTCCCCATTTCCTGTGTGATCTGCAATGACATCATGGCCTACATGTTTGGATTCTTCTTTGGTCGGACCCCGCTCATCAAGGTAAACATTGATGTGCCCCAACATGGGTACCACTGAGGGGCGGGTGGTGTAGATCTCACTGGTATGTCATCCTGGGGACAGGTGGGTGATGATTTTAGAGAAAAGCTAAAGGGAAATGTTGACAGCTCCTCATAGGAGAAAAAGGAGCTAATAAAGTTTTCGTTAGAGCCTGTAGAGCCCTTTTGAGACTTGGATCTCAATTTGAGGGTTGCCATTTATTTTGCATATTGCTTTATACATTTTTTTTTTAGTATTTTTATTTATTCATACAGAAGTGGGGTGTAGGCCATAGATGCAGGGGGTGAGAGGATTCACCAGAGACAGAGTGGGGAGCAGAACAGGCAGATCAACTGAAATACACTAAGGGGGGAGCAGAACGAGACAGGAGAGGTCGCTGCGCCGTGTGGGTCAGCTCCCTGGCCGGGGATGGAACTCCTGCTGCAGTGGCCACCGATAGTTTCATAGTGCTGTGCGTAACCCCTTGTACCACCAGGGAGGGCCCTGTTTTATATGTTTAAATTATTTGAGTGACTAATCAAAAAAGAAAGGAAATTGAGGGGTATAAAGGAAGGAAATTAAGTGTGGGGGAATTTTAGAAGGTGAGATAGTTAACCTAATGACGTTTCTTTTTCACAATAAACTTCCCAAAGCCCGAGTTAGCAAGATGCCCTTCACTGAGAACTTGTCCTCTGTCCACAGCTGTCCCCAAAGAAGACCTGGGAGGGCTTCATCGGGGGCTTCTTTGCTACTGTGGTCTTCGGCCTTCTGGTAGGTGGTGGCTCCTGGGGTGGGTAGAGGGGACTGAGGCCTCCCACCCGTCTTCAAACCCCGGCTAGAGACCACTTTTCCGAGGTCCAGGCCTCTGTCCTGATGACGTTGCCCAAAGAGGGGCACAGGCAGGCACCCACTGTTCATCTGTCGCGAGGCGGGGTCCTGGCAGCTGCGCATTCCTCCCCTGCCAGGGCTCGGCGGTGCCCATTAGGGGGCCTCGTCCAGCATTTGCTATTACCTGAGGGGGGGGTCAGGTCCGCTCTGACCCAGGTTTCTGCTGCACGTGCCTGGAAGTGGGGAATCCTCCCGCCTTTCCCGCCGTTCGCTCCCACCCTGGCAGCCGTGCCCTGCCCGTGTTGCCTGGCTGTCTGATGAGGGCTTCCCTGCTTGTTCCTGTTTGTTGTGTCGTCAGTCTCCTTCCTTCTGGCTGTCTGCCTCTCACCTACCACTGCCTCATGACCTGCCTCTAGTTAGCACTGAGAGAACCCAAGAAAAATGGACCGTAGCACCCCTGAACGGGGAGAAATTTCTGGTAGTTCTTTGCCCAAATTACATCAGGTCTTTACTGGATTTATTCAGAATCTGGGTTTCTGGGCAAGAATGTAAGAAGCTCTGTGGGCCATGAAACTCTTCCCTAACGCCCCCCACTTCCCAATACAGGTAAATGAAATTTTGTGGTGAAACATCTCACTTTGGGCATAGCTTGCAGTTCGCTGGGTGCCAAGCCCTGCGAGGGGGTGTGAGCTCCCCAGGGTCTGTCCCCCATGCCAGGTCCCTGGGGCTCATCCCCTCTGCCTGTCGTCTGTCCTTCCTCAGCTGTCCTATGTGATGTCGGGGTACAGATGCTTCGTCTGCCCCGTGGAGTACAACAACGACACCAACAGCTTCACCGTGGACTGCGAGCCCTCGCACCTGTTTCGCCTGCAGGAGTACCACATTCCCGAGGTGATCCAGTCGGCCGTCGGCTGGGTATGTGCCCCGACACTGAGTGGGCTGACCGTGCGCTCTCACTGCCTTGCCTTGGGAAAAACCTAACCAAAACCGAGCTTCTTCCCTCCCCAAAGCTGTAAGTCCCAGGGTGAAGGAGCACTGTTCAAGCCGGCTCTGGCTGGGGGCAGGAGGAAGCTTTCCTCCCACTCCTGCTCACGTGTATTCAAGTGTGTCCCGCGGCTCTCCGGGGAGCCCTGAGTCTTGCAGGGAGCCTGTGAGGTCACAGCTAATCACACTACAGTGTAGTGACCTCTTTGCCTTTTTTACTGTGTTGACATTTGTCATGAAGATGCAAAGCAGGGGGCAGAGCTGCTGGAGCCCAGCATGAGGGAAGGCAGTCGCCCTGCGCTCCAGTGCTGGGTTCTCCGTGCTGTGCACGCACGGTGTGAATGAGCTGGTTCCTCTTCCGAGTGTCTTGCACCGGCAGTTTGTGAGAGCGTCACCTTGAACACCTGCTTCTCGTGCTCTGCCAGAGTGAACGTCACACAAGCACCTCCGCCACGTGCTTGCCTGCTGTGAAGGCAGAGTGCATGGCAGGGCTCCCTCACGGGGACCCAGGCCTGCTCCTGGGAATTTAATTCTTACCCGAAAAGGACAGACACACTATGGTTCTCCAGACTTACATGTTTTGCAGACATTTTTCTTAAAAATGAACTGAGTCTGTCATTTCAAGGAAAACAGCTCAGGCTAATTGATTTCCAAAGATGAACTTGAGCTTTCAGGTGAAAATTGCTGCACCAAGTTATAAGCAAACTGCTGTTTTTCAATTCTGGTGTGGTGTCAGAAAAGAAAGCCCACACCTGTCTGGAAGGACTGTAACTAAAGGAGCCCAGTGTGAGCCGGGCATTCTTCATCAAGTGCAACTGAAACAACATATCACAATAGAGTAAATGTAGAGTATCTTATACCAGACTGCGGAGATTAAAAGGAAACCCCATTCTTGTCCTGAATTTGGTTGTTTTTTTGGTGGTGGCGGTGGGTGGTCTGCCCTTGGCCTGAGGCGCCCTGATCTCTCCCTGGCTTGTTCTCCTCAGAGCACCATGCGGATGTACCCCTTCCAGATCCACAGCGTCGCCCTCTCCACCTTTGCCTCACTCATCGGTCCCTTTGGCGGGTTCTTCGCAAGCGGATTCAAACGAGCCTTTAAAATCAAAGTAGGAAAAGACTCAACCCTGCTCCTCCCTTGTCTCCCTGCCAGGCCCCTCTTCACTGTCTCCCGCACGGCCCATTACCACCCCCCCACCCCGTTCAAAACTCCAGGCTGACAGACAGGCCCGGCTGTGACGTGTGCGTCCCTTGCAGGGTCTGCACCCAGGCGGCTGTTCACAAGAAAATCCACTAGCTGCATTTTGAGTTTATATATGTCTTAATTTTCAAAAGAAATGTTGTATAATTTAAGATCGTAACATATCATAGCCTCAGCATTTGAATCAGTGCTGACTTTTCACTTCCTGTGGCTCTCAGCTGCTTGTGAGAACGCCTGGACGCCAAGGGCCCCTGGGGCCGGGTTGGCTCACTCGCCAAGCCCAGGCTCACCGCACTCTCCTGCTTTCTCCTTCCCGCTCAGGACTTTGCCAATACGATTCCTGGCCACGGAGGCATCATGGATCGGTTTGACTGCCAGTATCTGATGGCCACCTTTGTCAATGTCTACATTGCCAGTTTCATCAGGTATAGTGCCTATCTGCACCAGCGTGGTGGATTTTGAAAGAGTGAAATTGTGGAATTTTAGCTGTGTCTCAGTTCTAGTGAGAAGCATCCTGAGTATGAATATAGTTTCCAGTTGCAATTTGCAGATGACCTGAAAATCTCCTCCCCTCTACCTCCTCGCCCCTTCAGTTAGAGAATCCAGAGGTGGGGTAGTCAGGGCCTAGAGTTGCCTGGGCCCTGGCTCAGTGCTGTTTCTTTGTCTTCTCTTCTAGGGGCCCCAACCCAAGCAAGCTGATCCAGCAGTTCCTGACCTTGCGGCCAGATCAGCAGCTGCATATCTTCAACACCCTCAAGTCTCACCTGGCTGACAAGGGGATGCTGACAGCTGTCACGGAGAATGAGTAGGGCCCCAGGGCCGGGAGAGCAGGAGTCGGACTGAGCGAGGGGCGGGGTTCCAAGGAAGCCCAACTGTGTGACTTAGACAATGCCAAGGCTTTCAACTCACTGTCTTTTTTTTTTTTTTTTGGTAGAGTATTTTTTATTTGTGCGTTAAAAAGAAAATTGTATATTATAGTACTCTATGTGCTTATAATTTGGGTTGTGAGTAAACTGCAGCTTTGAGTTGGAAAGAAGTCACGGGGTAAAACCATTTGGGTTTTTAAAGCAAGGACCAGTTTTTAACCACCTGGAGAACAATGTTGCCCAGCTTGGGCCACCTGCTGGGGCTTCTGGCTCCCTTTGGGGAGCTGTTTCTGGGCTCCATCAGAGTGCTCCTCTGTGTCTGGCCAGGTCAGGGGCCCCTGCCTGTCTGTGTAGCTGCCCCCAGCAGGGAAGGGGTATAAGGCTTAGATGCCTTTGCTTCTAGAGAGCTTTCACTGGCTTCGGGAGGCCTTCTGTAAGCTAGAGGGCTGGAGGCTGCTTCATCACATGAAGTCCTGTGGAGCGGGAGTTCTGTTTTATGATGAGGGTTCACCCTATTTCATCACAGACTCAAAGGCCTCTATTTTCTTCTGAAAGCATGAATAACTATAGTAGTCGGGGGGTGGGGAGAAGCACTGTAAAATTTGAGGTGTGTGTAGCAGAACGTACTGTAACTGGGCCCTTCATGGCAGGTTTTAGGCTTCGGGGGCTCCCGCGGGGCAGTCCAGCTAACTCTTTGCAGGGACGACGCCATTCATGCGTGCGCTGTAGATGTGTTGCTGTTGATCCTTCCAGGAGCTCCCTGTTGGGCAGGGAGCTGGGGGCTTCTTCACGCACTGACCACCCATTGTAGCTGCTCTGTTTTGTGTATATCTGACTTAACACAAATGTGTGTCTGTGTGTGTGCGCGTGTGAAAAATCACTTGTTACAGTGATTTCCATTGTACCGTGACTTCTTCACTGAAACCATGAAGTCCTGCCTAAAACTCTGGAAACTTCAATCCCATTAGACGTTTGACTATCCTGAAGGTTAAATGCACATTTTTAATGTGACCAGTTTGCATTTTACCGGGGGACCTTTATTGTTTT